AGTAGCGTCAAGTCAGCTATAAAATTAGCACAAAAAACCTTTTTGCAATCTTAAAGCTAGATTCATTATAGATTTTTTTTTGTAAATACATAAAAACACCCAAACTCCAAAACAAATATTTGCAGATCATAGAAACATGTGGTCAGCACAGCACAGCGGTCGTATACGCTACCTCTGCACCAGCAAGGCAGTCGAAAGTAACCAGTCAAAACTTGTTAACATGTTGCCCATTGCTCCGACTCCAAATAAAATTGCACATCTAAGACGGAAGAATACGGCAGACCGCATTCTGTCAGTCTGGCAGTCTGCCACATTCTACTTCCCATGCCCTATAGGTTTTCTTACGCCAATTTACCTTTCTCTCTAAAAACTAATACGTTCTCATCTTTATTGTTCTATTGTTCAAACAATAAAAATAATGGTTATTGTTTGTACATATATTACTGACGTTTGAGTAGACCTTGTACACTACAAGGTCTACTCAATAAAAATATTTAAAGTTTAAGATTCGTAATGTATAAAAGAAATAAGCCAAAATCTTTAGTACTCGTAATGTTGTATATCGCACAGACTCCACATATAATTGGGAAAACTACAACAATATGATGATGATAAGGCTACTAAAACCATAAATCAATTAGGTTTTTTTTTATTGTCTGTAATCTATCTATACGTACTAGTAAGCAAGTTATGTATTTATGATTCTAATTATATGTTTAAGTGTTTTTATATAAATTAACAGGGTTATAAAGATCTTTGTATTTTACCTATGTATTCAGAGTATTGTATAAGCACCGTTTATATTTAGGCGTCAAACTTTCAAGCTCAGCCGGAGGTCGTGGGTGTAATTCTCATGCAGGACACGATAATTTGTTCTGTGCCCGTATAATGATGATTTCTGGGATAAAAACTACCCTATGTCCTTTCCCGGGACTTGGACTATCTCTATACCAAATTTCACGGGGTGAATTGGGGTAGTGAAATTCCTTATTCTAAATCCGTCACTACACGGAGTATAGTACATATATATATATATATATTATTATCATCAAACTTTGTACACAAACCAGTCCGTTACATTTACACCGACTTCAAAATATGTCTCTCGTGGCTGTAGCTGAAGAAATATTATTTCTAAGCGCAGATCGTTTATTGTAAACTTCCCTACACGTGGCCCATCCATTATACAAACATAACAGATAGGTATATAAGTAGGTATAGGTAAATAGTTATGTCTTGTATTACCATCGGCATTGTTCGAATATTCTCATAATAATTAGCTGTTTACTCTGAATACGTTATGAATATTTTGAAGGCTATAATACAATTTCATTGGTTTTACTAGTGTTATTCTAATACTAGAATCTGTGTGTATTTATTTTTTATATGGTATCGGGGTTAAACGAGCAATCGACGGGTAATCTAACGCCTTGCCTAAGTGGGACTAAAAATTGTAGTTGGGCAAAATGTGGGCGTTTAGTACGCCTCTGTTTATACCCTTTCGGTGATAAAAGCGTGATTATATCTATGTATATGTATAAAAAAATATTTTTAAAAATTGTACTCAGTTTAAAATGGCTAAAGTGGGATACTTACGCCGCTTACTACTTCGTTGAGTGTTGTGGGTCCGATCCCCACATGGGACGACACTTTGTGTGATCCACAAATTGTTGTTCTGAGTCTGGGTGTCCTTTGAATCCGTTTCATGTATGTTTCTAAAGTCCCCCGTGACACAGGATTTATTCCTAGTTGTCTTTTTAAACAGAAAAAAAAGAGAGAAAGTGGGATAGGCAGGTAGACTGTCCCTAATTAACGTCACAAGTCAGAGAAAAAACACGATTTTTACTACCTAGTTTACTTACCACCTGTTCACCGATTTTTTAAATACGTTTTACCAATGTCTACATCAAGTCTGCACACGACCTTTATAATCTCCCAGTAATAAAGACTGAAATAAAACTACATAATTACTATAAACTATTTAGATACTGAAGAGATACTCGTATACACCGGCGCCGTAGCCCACTCAGTGGCGCGAACATCAAACTCTTAACACACATTTTATGTTTAAATAAATGCAAAATTTATGGAGATCTTTAATATTTAACTAGCTGTCACAGTGGGACGGCTTGTGTTAAATCTTTGCGGTTTATTATAATCATAATTATTATATTGCACAAGCAAATACTTGGAGTATTTATGTGACTGCACGTAGTGGTTTAAGCGGTCAGCTTGCCGCTTCCTACTACGCTTAGTGTTGTGGGTTCTATCCCCACATGGGAAAACACTTTGTTTCAAACTCAAACTTTCTTTATTTCATAAAATTTCCAAAATTGTTTGAAATCGGCTTCCATGTAGACTCTAAAGTCATAGATCAACACACACAAAAGCAACAATCTCTGTTTTGTCAAATAAAATAAATTTAACAAAAAATCAAACCCATACAAAATCTATGATATGAAACACAAATTGTGGTTCTGAGTCTGGGTGTTCATTGTATCCGTATGAATGAGTGTTTCTAAAGTCCATCGAGACACGAAACATATTCCTAGGGCAAGAGTTCTCAAAAAAACCATTGAAATTGAGAGTAACCTAGGCCGTTCGGTGCGTGAGTTTTTTTTAAAACTATGTACACTTATACCGTTTTAAAAACAAGGAAGAGGTTCTAAATTCGGCTGTATATATATTTTTTAAATGTTTGTTACCTTACAACTCTGTTATTTAGGTATGAATCGGAATTTGCTTTTTTAATTTGAGACTTTATGGAAAATTTTCTGTACAAGAACAATGGACAAGAAAAATATAGGATTAAAAGTTTGATTGAGATTGAATAATGACACTTCAACGTATCGTGAAGAATCGTAATAAACTGTATTTTTACACGTTATATTAGCTTCACTTGTATGTTTGTTTGTATGTTTGTAACCGAATCCTTTGGGCGTGATTTTGACTGACTTTAAACGGTCAGAATTCGTTCAAACTTTGTAGATATATCGAGGACTGATGCCAATACACTAATTTAAAAACGGTGCTTTTTACTATTGACAACAGGCACCTAACGCTTTTTTTCAAATTTATTTTCTATTTTTTAGTTTGGTTTTCTATAGAAAGCGTGTTTTTTAGTTTTTTAAAACTAAAATTTTTTATTTCTTAATTTGCCACCAATTTCTTTTTTTTTGGGAATGTGAATGAAACCAGAACAGAAGTATACTCCTTCAAATAAAAGAAGATTTTGCCGAACATTTTACAATGACGAAGTTGGTTATATATAATGAATATTCATCCATAGCCAGATGCTCAGACATAGGTATACTCGTATTAAATAATTGGATTTCGGGACGTAGTACTTCAAAGTCAAGTCAGTTCAAGTAAGCATTTTTTTTTCTATAGTTACTCTTCTAGAAACATTTTCGATAAAATGGCTAAGAAAAATAAATCCTTAGATAAGTATTACACGTGAAGTTGCGGAAAAACTGAAGGACTTATCACCTCAAAGCGGACCTCAAACCAAATTATATGATGGCTAACAAGTTTATACATATATGTAATAAATTATTGTATATATACCTATAGACACACCTGGGCTGTTCGTAGGTATGTGTGCGTGTTTGTGATGTCACTTCTAGAAAAACTGGTCGGAATCACAACCATTATTATTTTTTATACACGTTCTTTAATTTATACACGTTTGAACTTGTATGAAAAGTTATTGATTAAGATAAATAAGTTATATTTGATTATGATCTGTTTGAGAAAAATAAAAATCGTCTATAATAACAATTTAAGTCTTTGACAGTGTCGGTGTTTGCGTATTAGTCGAGACGGTTTCGATATCGGAATCAAAACGGAATCGAGTTTAATTTGAATTAGTATTGAAGTGGCAAATATGTGTTTTTAAATATTAATACGGAACGAATGGAATGAAAAAACGCCATGTTTTGTCCATCTACTACCATTGATTTATTTCCTTATAAATGGTACATATGTACTAGTAGTTAATCTTGACTATAAAACACACAAACACAAGTTAAGGCAAGAAAAAATTGAAATATAACGATTTAATTAACAAAAAATTTAAATCTATTAAAAATTAATCTAATATTTAAGTTTAATCTGTGGAACGGGTTATCGTTTGCGCTATTTCCGGACCGATACGACCTTGAAACCTTCAAGAAACGAGCGTACTCCTTCCTAAAAGGCTGGCAATGTGTTTGTGACTCCTGAGTTGCAGACGTTCATGGGCGGTGATGGTCACTATCCATCAGGTGACCCGTCTGCTTATCTGCCCCCTTTAATATAAAAAAAAACACAAAATGTACAGCTATCGACTTACAAAGAGGAGCTCCATGATTCCAGAATCGTGATCAGTACAAGTCAAACGAAACATTGGTTAAATAATCTATACTTCTATACTAATATTATAAAGCTGAAGAGTTTGTTTGTTTGTTTGAACGCGCTAATCTCAGGAACTACTGGTCCGATTTGAAAAATTCTTTCAGTGTTAGATAGCCCATTTATCGAGGAAGGCTATAGGCTATATATCATCAATAGGAGCGGAGCACCAATGAAGAATGTTTCAAAAACGGCGAAAATTTATTACTATTGAGAGACGCAGACGAAGTTGCGCGGGTCAGCTAGTAATACATAAGTTGACACACGGCCGTCTGGCCCCAAACTAGGCGTAGCCTGTACTTTGATAACCAAATTGCCAATACATACTTATATATTTCTAAATACCCAGCCTCCCCTCGTTCAAGATGAAAGTTCGAGCTCGCATTCTGGACACCCTAGCAGATTCATTACAACCTTAAAGTTTTATTTATTACTTAAAATAAGTATATCTTAAATTGCACCCATACAACCAATGACGTCACTCATATCATCATCATGCCATTATTTATTCATCTGGAGTTAGAATCGAACCAACAACCTCTGTCACTAACCACTAGATCAACAGACTAGTCTTATATTGTCTTATATATGTCTTTTTTGTCCTATAGAGCGTGGAGAGAGTACAGAGGATGCAAGGAGGACAGACCACGAGCGGCTAGTAACGGGTTCCCTGGCTACTGACGGCGAAGGTGAGCACTATTCACATATGTACTTTAATATAATCACTTTAGGAAGTTCGTTTTTTTTATACATTAAAAACCAGTAAGAGCTTCCTGGTATGGGTATTGGTAAAGGCTGTGTTTACCCAGTTAGACTCGTAGTCGGGTCAGATAACGTTCGTTGAACCGAACTCAACTCCGTCCAGAGAAACGGAAGTCTTCTGAGAGTTTCACAGGGTATGTGTAATACTAACCAGAATTAAACATATTGATGAGCACCTCATCGGTGTCAAAGACAATGTGGTATGTGGGACTCAAACCGACTAAAACCACATTATGCTCCGTTACAGGGTTTTGGTCTGTTAAAAAACTTTAGAACAGCTGTCGTTATATCGATTATATTATTAAAAATATCATATCGTTACATTTAAAACTTAATTTCTAGTGCACCTAATCAGACATCTTCCCACCACCCAAAGGTAGACGGGAGGAAATACCTGTGGCATTAAGTCCGCCATTTTGTACAATAAATTGTTGTTTGTGCAAAAAGAATTAAATAAATAAAAAAAAAAATAATGATAAAAAAGGTAGTATAGTATTTTTAATATAGTCAATAATTAACGACAAGTCTGCTATTCATATAATATTTAATTAACCTTCTAGAAAAATCAAAGTTGTATAGTTATTGAGTGCATACAAACATTTAATTATCAACAGCCTATAGTAATCCACTGCCGAACATAGGCCTCTCCATATTTTGTCCTACCATACCACGCTGGCCAGACGGGTCGGTATAGGGATTGTATCAAGTTTTCCTTCTCTTTGCAGTGCTGTTGTCCTGCGTAGTTTGCTGCCTTAATTTTATTTTATTATATTAATTAATTATTTAATTATATGGACGGTTTTTTTACTTTATATTTATTGTTTTAAGAATTGTAGTCTGTTCTTAATAGCATATGAAACTATTATGTATTCTATGATAACCAAGTAGCCTACACTTAAAATACGTCTAAATTAAGAATTAAAAATCGGTGATTTAATTCTATTCGTCGATCACTTCCCCTTTCGTTTCTTACTGTACTTGTAATGGCCTCAGCGGGTTCTGCAATACAAATATGTATGTACAATCAGTTCTGCATTCAAATTTATAGTTTTTCTTTAAAAAAGTAAATACCAAAAATACATTTATGAGTACATATCTCACTTCTTATCACTTAAAAAAATTCAGTCTAGTGCTGATTGAATTGCTTTCTTTCATCGACTTTTACCACTTACTGAAGTCATACGTGATCAAAAATAAAAATCTAGGAATTACGTAATCCTCGACAGTTTTCCACGCAAATCTTGCTAACCGGTATTTAAGTGGTGGTGTCCCAGTCCTAGCTGGTGGTAGTGGTACTAACCTTGACGATCGATCGCTCGCCGCCATTCCGGCGCCAGCCCCACGCCATCGACGCCGTGCTATTATTTCATGGGATTGGTATTGTCTTGATGTTCTTGTACAAAATGGGTGATAGCATATAGTGGGAATCTTCAGCTTGTTATGGTTAAGTAGAGTTATAGTTGGAGAAGATTTCGTTTAATAGGGCAAGAGAAAGAGAATTTGCAGAAATAAATATATAAATATAGGCATGAACATTATGTATAATTATAACATGTATAATGATTAACGCAAACATAATCATTTAGGCTATGTCCACGGCCAGTGTAACCTGGTCGAAACATCAGGTAATTTAAAGATATTTAATACACATTACGGGATCACTCATCACTCACAATTTCACCTGTATTGGTCTAGAATATTTCGGCAAATTTGCTGTGAAATATGGAAATACTTTTTCTCTTGTAAATATGCTACTCTAAAATCAGCCGATAAAAATGACAATTTTCAATGTGACTTCTTGAATTATTGATTGCAAATAAATCCATATTTGATTTATTTATCTAAGGATTTATTTTTAATGCTTTCAATTCCTTAAATTTACTCCTGGTAAAGGGTTTCAAGACAGCTTTACTTTCCTTAAAATCCGTTGAATACCTAAGATGCTACTGCTTTTTTGCTGGATTACATTCATATCTTAAGCCGATCTAAAAGTTACTAATACAGTAATATAAAGCATGTTCTTATTCACGTTTATGTATACAAAGTTCTAGTTGGTTCTAGTGTACAAATTATTGATCTGCAACAGTAGACTGTGAATCAGTAAGCATCGCATTCAAGGCTAAAATATTGAAACTAATGTCGCCCCGATACGCAATTTTATACACCTTTTAGTGAAACGGTTTCAGTGAATACCTGAGTATAATCCTGTCAAATTGGAAGCAACAACTTCATGTCTTTTAATGCCCTTAAAGGGACAATAACAGGGATACATTCTTTAAAGAGATGAGTGTAAATTTCATCATTACATAACATCAACAGCCCATAATAGTCTACTGTTGGACATAGACCTCTCCTTAGAAAGAAGCCTTTTGAAAGTTTTGGCCTACTATACCACGTTGACCAGACGGGTTGGTATCGATAGGGTTTGTGTCAAGTTTTCCTTTTGATTGAAGTGCTGTTGCCCTTCGTAGTTAGCTCCCTTAGTCGGCTCTTACGACACCCACGAGATGAATAGGAGTGGTGACACTTCGTATTCCTAATCCGTCACCACACGGTTAAAATGTAACTAAAATTTCAACGATGTGAATGCTTCGCAATTATCTTAGGGTTTTCATGCTTCTGACATACAGTTGTTATAACAGGCTCCATCATTCCCTGGTCTTTGGTGCCTGAATAAATAAGTAACAAATGGGTAACGGAATTTAAACAATTGCCGAACGATTTCATCATCTATTGATAATAAGTCAACCATAATAATAACTATGTTCCTTTATATTTTTGCGTCTGACATCACTTATCCAGTATCTTGGCTCTGTATGACAATAAATCTTTGCCAACTGACTAACATCGGTAAATTTTGTTGGTTTAGTTAACTAGTAATTTGACTCGGGTGGTGAAAGAATACAATTGTTATGCTAAAATTATAACAAATCCACATTTGTGACAGGAAGTTTGTCTTTACGCGTTGCGTTGGTGGATGATATCATGGTGTGCTTTGGTAGTTTCAAAATCTTTAAAAAAAAACAGCTTCCTGTGTTTTTATTACGTATTTTACGTTAAAATATATTTTTTTTAAAGATTAGACGTTGGCAATTCTTGTTTGAATTGAATTGCAGAGTACTTTTAATATTTCACCTGTAGTTTGCCGTCGTGAGCATTTCTGTTTAATTTGGCTTAGTGTTTGATCGCCTTGAAATCTTTAGAAGGGTATATTTTTATATACTTCTTAAGGGCAGTAGTGTGTGTAGTGTGTATTAGTGATATATAAGTGTTGCTTTTGTAGAGGTGTCTACACACACACTAATACAACTTTACCAGAAGTCGTTTATGCGTTATCTTCTGCAATCTAAGTAAAAGTTCTACCTGTATCAAAGTACCTTCAACTGGGTACTTTAAGAATTAGATTGGAAAATAGAGAGTTGAATTTGAAAGGAAAAGTAGGTAATGAGGAAAATAATGGTAGGAAAAGGGTATTGAGGAGTGAAGGAGATAGCTCGTGTAGATCAGGATCGCCTATCAAGGATACCTGTAACTTGAACTGGTTGTTGCCGGCAAGTTTGAGCCCTTTAACCACAGAACCTAAAGTATTCATACTTCCTTACTTATAATATAAATGTGAAAGTGAATTTGTTTGTTTGTTACGCTTCCGAAACCGATTTTAAAAATTCTTTCACCAATGGAAAGCTTTATCAGCGAATAACAAAGGCTAGTTTTTACCGCAATGCGGAAGGCGCAGGCGCAGGCGGCGCAGGCGGAACCGCGGGCAAAACCTAGTATTATTATTTAAAAAAAATGCTAATCGTAACTTTTCTTTCTTTCTAGAACGTCAGAGCTGGGAGTCAGAATGGTGCAGACTCGCGTACTGGGAGTTAACGCAACGAGTGGGTCGACAGTTTGGTGTCCGAGTGAGAGCCGTTGATGTGTTCGGGGGAGGTGGAGGAGCTTGTGGGTCGGGGAGGCATGGCTTGTGTCTGGATGCACTGGACCAGAGAGGGGATGCACCTCAAGCAGAACAGGTGAGGAAGGAATCCGTTTGTTATTATCAACTCCAAATAATATAGAAGAGAAACCCAATCACCCTTATTTTTTAATATTCCATATGTTATAAGTGACACGGAAATAGACGCAGGCGTTTGATTTGAGTAGTTATAACCCTATAGAAAAGTTTTAAAGAATGCCGGCGATTTTGGGTTCGATTCTCAGTCAGAAAATATAACTATATCAGACAATCATTTGTTCGGTATCGGGGTATAAGATATTTATTTAGTAATATATAATCATGTTTATCCACAGTCTAAGTACCTACTGTAGTACAGGTTCAGGCTCACACGGCCGTGTCTAAAATGTGTCAGGTTATTATTATAAAGACACGTAGAAATCACAAGGATCTCTCACACTCACTGCACAGTACATTAACATACTGAAACAATAAACTCACACGTCCAGGGCATCCAACAAAGAGCTCGGTGTATTCGCCAGGGTTATCAGGGTTTATCTGGCGCGCCTCTGCTCTAAATCAATGTAACAATCCGTTCGGATGTAATCTGCGGCGGCAGAAGCATTTGCGATAGTGTAAATCGTAACGAGTTCCTAAGATATCTTCATAAGAGAATCATTTCTGTTTTATAAACAGTAACAAGGATGTTTTAGATTTTTGTATTTACTATAATATTATAAGGCTGAAGAGTTTGTTTGAACGCGTTAATCTCAGGAATTACTGGTTCGAATTGAAAAAATCTTTTAGTGTTGAATAGCCCTTTTATCAAGGAAGCCTATAGGGTATATAACATCACGCTACCACCAATAGGGATTGAGCATCTTTTGAAAATGTTGTTAAAATGGGCAATATTTTTTTCGAGATGTCGATGTGCAAACAAGCATACAGGTCACCTGATGGTAAGTGACTACCACCCATGGACATCTGTAACTCAAGAGATACAAGTGTGCGTTCCCCCCCTAGATTCTTTTGTTTTATATTCTTTTAACTAAATCATCTCTTTTCTTTTAATTACAGGTGCGAAAGACCAGAGCAAAAATTGGTCTAGGCGTAACTTTATCTCTGGAATCAGACGGGGTTTGGTTGTACAACCGTAGCCAAGAGCCAGTGTTCGTCAGCTCACCAGCATTAGATGCGGCAGCTGCCAAAGCTTTATTAGTCTGGAGAGTAGCCCCAGGCCACTGTCTCTGCATCTTCGACCCTGCATGCCCCCCACCGGCGGTTTCTCTGCCTAATGTTGGACCAGTCGACCCAAGGTCGGTGCGGATCTCCTTCGCGAAGGGTTGGGGTCCGAAATACTCGAGGAGGGATGTGACAGCGTGTCCGTGTTGGCTCGAGGTGTTGCTAGCGCCCCCCAGCTGACGTAAATAGAGTGCTGTGTGTATTTTTGTGTGGCTATTTGCTATAAAGAATACAATACATATTATATAATAACTGCCTGCGGAATGGTGTTCAGGAAAGAAGAAATTTGAAAAAAAAAACGTTTTATAGCAAAAAAATTTTTCTTTATAGCAAATAGTCACACAAGTATTTTTTTGGACAATAAAAGTGGAAAAAGGACCATACAAGTGAAGTGCAAAACATTTTGAAATAAACTCGGTGACTTTTAGTTTATTGGACATTTATTTTAATATTAAATAATATAAGAAAGAGGTCCACTAAAATAATAATGTATAAAATAAATAATAAATGAATTACATATAATAATTGTTAACGTATTAAAAAAAGAAAACAATATTTTTTTCTGGTTATTTTAGTTGATCGGTTTCTTATGTGTCATGTGCACATTGCACATTTGATGTATTGTTAAAATCATTATACACATTCATATTTGTTATAACTATGGATTTGTTACTTAATTTATTTACAATATACAGTCAATTTAACTAAACTATCAGCAAAATAAAATCATACAAGTAAATTTACTGATAAATTAATATAAACTGACAAAAGATTGAAAATTAAACGCAATAGTTACTCACAGTGTCACTCTTGGTTTCTGAGTGAAACTTAAGTAATTTATTAAAAAAATAACAAATCAGGTTTAACTTTGCAGTCCATAGTTTTGTACAAAGTGTATTTATCGATATTATACTATTTGTATAAATTTTATACAAGTTTATATAAGTAGTATCATTGTCGGTGTATTGTATAATTTAAAAGTCATTTTTTATATTCACCATAATAATGTGAATAGTGATTGGTTAATGCGGTTTTGTATTTATAGGGGCCTTGTTATGTGATTCACAAAATAATCTGTTTATTATGCCACAACTATTGACAACAATATAATAATTATCATTTGACAGTTGAGAAAAATCTAGGAAAATATATTAATTACAATACATTAAAATTAACGTTAGAGCATTATCACCACAACCATAACTACTTACCACATACATTTTTATCGATGATGACGTGTATTTTGTATAGAAATACAATATACACTCTATCACCGACAATACATATAATCACTGTCATAATTATTATGCTACTCTCTCAGATTGGAGCTAACCAATTTTAGTTGTGGAGTATGTACCATTCCTTTCTTTAGATTTCTTTCAACTGTATGAAACAACATCAATTTGAGGCCTTAAGTTGTATAATGTATAGTGAGCTATACACCTTTTATAAAATTGTACATATTGTATAAACTCGGTTTTAAGACAATGCGAGACTGTATATATAATGATACATATGTGTACTATATAATTAATTAATTATTTATAATTATTGAAATATGCCTTACCTTAGATTATAATTTATTTAAGAGTTAGTGAATAATTTCAACATTTTTTTACAAAAATCTATACATACGTGTATAAAATATAATTTGACACAATTGTATATTGGAGAATTCGTTTTAAAGTGAAGAAGGCTGTGTGAAAAGCATTTTTAATTGACCTCAAATAAAAAATAATAATTGTGGGTACAGTTTTGAGAAAATATTGAATGTGGTGGTTGGTGTTGAAATTACGTTACTCAAATTCAAATTTAAATACAAACGTGAACTACTTAAGGTATAGACTTCCTATTGTGTATTGTTACAAAATACAAAATACACTTTATCATTCAAGACTATTACTTCAAATTTTTTCTCAAAATTGACTCAAATGTATCTCAGTCTTTGTGCGTTATGGGAGCAACTCGGAATCGCTTAAATTTAAGCGTGTTAAGTTTAAAAAAAGATCTGCCGTAATAAAACTATATGAAAGTGCAATCTTATTGATTTTAATAGTTAATAAAACAGATAAAATGTGCCTTGTGTTGTATCGAAGTAATATTAAAGGTTAACTTAAATTGTGTATAAGTAAAACAGTCAATTTCACTGGCCTATAGAATTCTATACATTTATATATACATATATATATAAATATTGATTTTTATTGTGAGTCTGTTGGTCACTATGGCGTATTATATTATAGCAGTGGTGTAGTTTCAAAACACACACACATACTAAATTTTTGTGTTTTTTTTTTCTTGTTTCTAGTTGTTTTTTGCTAAATTTGTTCCACATCTCTAGATTCGTTTCATATGGAATCGAATTTAGTTAATATTATATTCGCTTCTATTTTTTTTTTTCAATATTGTTGAAATCATTACTAATAGTAATGTTTTATTAAAATATGTTTGTTGTAAAGCTATGAATTGAAGGGTTGTTTTCACTACGCTATAGTGACCAGCAACACTAAAATCCTCGAATTTAAGGGTAAAATCGCTTACAGAAGTGGTTGGACAATAAGAATAAATTTCTAGTCTATGTAGCAACATTGCTTTGTTTGTTAGGTAACCGGGCCAGTTCTGGATGATATCGGTGCATCAAAATTATATATTTTTATTAGACATTTTGGAGTAAACTATGACTTCTACACTTTTTCTTCATTTAAATAAATCATTGTGGGGTTAAAACATTATATTTAAAAAAAAAGGTTGAGTTAATGAAAAATGTACCTTAAAATAAGTGGTTAAGGAATATTTTTGTATGAACTGCCTTGGTTCTTTGTTTTTTTTAAGTCGCAAAATTTATGACAGTCATTTAGACTCTTATTTAGGGGCATTAAAGTTTATTTTTGTGTGAAAAGAATCAAATAAAACATTATGAATTTAATATATAAAAATTATTGAAAATGAATTCTATTTACTTTTGCTTTAGTCATAATTTACTTCAGAATCGATTCAATATTGGAAATGAAATGTACATAAGGTTGTATGGCAGCTTGTTCACGGTAAAATGTACTACTGCAGTCACAAATGCATAATTTTGAGTTACTTTATTAGTATTTTGTGTTAGAACTGTTTAGTCATTATATTAGACTGATGTAGCGCCTTAAACAAAATATATTTTTACATATTTAAAAAAATGTATAAAGTGGTATATAAAAAAAGAACACAAATGTATAAAAAATCAACTCAATTTGTATTTATTTTTACATAAAAAATCTAAGAATTCATTTTTGTTTGAAAATTATAAGTGTGAAAGTAATACATTTTTGGAAATATGTAAAAATGCTAAAATAATAATATAAAAATGTAATAATAACAGTTGTTATATTTCTCCCTGATTCGCTGGTAAATTGTTGTGTTCGACTGACAACGGATGAGATTAGGATATGATAATTTATAAATAAAAGAGGAATATTTTTAAAATAACAGTCGTTTCATTTTACTTATATCAATACCATGTTACAATTTTGGAGAACAAAAACCTAACCTCAAGATTTTACTATACTATTTTGTCTGCGGTATTTAAGGACCGATACGACCTTCAAACCTTCAAGAAAAGAGCGTACTAAAAGGCCGGCAACGCGTTTGTGACTCCTGAATTGCAGACCTTCATGAGCGGCGATGGTCACTTTCCACCAGGTGACCCGTCTGCTCGTCTGCCCCTCTAACATAAAAAAATAAATATACCTTAGAATATATCCGATACTTTACACAAACAAATTACAAGATAAAAATCATTATTACAAAAGTACCACCTTTTTCATAAATTGTTTTTTTTTATAATTAACAATAATAATATTGATAGTGACAATTTGATTATAACAATAATTTATCCTTAAAGTTAAGAACGCCCGTTTACTACAAACACACAGAAACAGACATTAATCCACATAAATATGACGTTAATATTATTCCAATTTCTTCAGAGTTGTATTCGGCACTAGGAAGCACGCTAAACCGCACACTGAAAAAAAACAACTCTATATAAAATATAACACAACGCCATCTAGTGGCTGTGGTATACACTAACAAGCCAGCCGACTAACAATTTAGTTCCTTATTTTAACGGCTTCTAGATATCTCAATGGTTTTCTTGGTACGTCTAAACTGATTTGTACCTATTCAGCAACCAATAACAAATTAAAAGAACCAGTGTGCTTTAGACCACATGACTGAAGTAAAACTTCTTGGCTATGAGAGAAAGAGAGAAAGAAAATGTGTGCTTCCGTCGTTTCGTATTACTGTAGGTAGCTGTAGTAATATACGAAAAGTAACTCTCTCTCTTTCTATCTTCACTAACTTACATCTCCCTCTCAACTTACGTTCGCCTCTCCCGATCACACTTTTCGCAACACTCTCGTCACGTATTCGTAAAGAAGTTTTACTTCAAAAAGATTTATTAGATTTGAATACTGTCACTGAAATAAGGGTATCTTTTTCTTTTTTCTTACCTTACCTTTTGGGTAGAAGAAAGAATAGTCGTCAATAGTCGTTAATAAAGAGTGAAAAGAGAAAGTACCTATTAGAACGGCGCCAATGGTTAGGAAAGGCGGTAGGCAGCCGTAGTCTATAAGTGCTGGGAAGATCACAGTACCAGTGATGGTGCCTGCTCTGCCACTCATGAGGAACGTTGACATGGCCATTACTCTGAAATCAATAGTTTTGATTTAATATGTTATATATATTTCAATACTTAATGAAAATTATTCCCTTTAAAAAAAAATGGATACATCTAACGCCATCTGTTAATTCTGTTTTGAATTGAATTTGTTCTTCGTGGCGCTTGTAATGTTTTTATAACATCGGGATTATATACGTAATTAACTCATTAAAATATGTAGTTGATATTAACATTAAATAGTAGATTCGTCTTGACAGAGAAATCTTATTTGTCCTATGTCCTTCCCCGGCACTCGACATCTGTTTCTCTCCTACTTGAGTGAGCGATGCCTCCGCGTGGACAGCTGCTACTCGTATACAATAATACATTTTTGAAAAATGCAACCATTCCATCAGTATTTTCTTATGACGTTGTCACGTTCAACTATCGTCAGTAAACCGACTTTACAGACAACCGATTTTTTTCCTTTTGAGGTACGGAACCCTAAAATACTTCTCAATTCTCGCGAAAACTTCTGGTCTGATATCACGCTACGACCTTACGTTTCAGTGTACATACAGAAAGACTAGTCGAAAATACCTGAGAGAAGTAGGGAATAAGTCCACTGTTATGCTGGATAAAGAAGCGCCACATAAGGATGTCAGAGCCATCGCTGTGGTCACCATCGCCACTACAGCAAACGCGCTGTTGCCGAGGAACGGCATCAGAATTATTAGAAGAGCGCTTGCTATACCACAAAAGCTTGCCACCAATCTCTTGCCGCATCTGGAAGTTCAAATTGAAGACTATTATTTAATTATATTCAGTAAAAAGAAGATGTTAATAATGTCATAATGTGTAGACTGTGAAAGACTGCACGGATGACATAGTGGCATAAGCGGTCGCCACGCCGCTTACTACAACCCTGATGTGTGATCCACAAATTGTTGTTCTGAGTCTGGGTATTCTTTGTGTCCGTTTCATGTATGTTTGTAAAATTTCCCACACAGGTGGCACAGACATATTCCTATTGCGGGAGTTTTCTTTTTTTTTAAACGCTTCTTATTAATAATAATAATAATAACTTGACACATGTCACTCATATTTGTCTAATCCCAAACTAGGCAGAGCCTGTACTACAGTAACCAGAACCAGAAAGAAATTAGAAAGAAATACACTCAGATGGAGAACAAATGATCTAACTTATCACACGTGGGAATGGAACTGACCTCAATTTTTGGCTCAGGATTTAGAATAATCATTAGATCAAAAATTATTGCTGGATGCGAGAAGCCCAAATCGATCTAAGTGGCGTGCAATGGGAAAGACCTATGTCCAGCAGTGGGCTGCGTTAGGCTGATGATGATTAGATCAATAGACCGGCAAATACCTACTCAACAGGTTTAGGGACTATGCAATATACTCTAATACTAATTTCTATCAGATTGTATTACCTACAATGAAAACCGTACATGTTTAAATTATTATATCGATGTGTCTACAGAATTAGTTAAATTTACTTCATCATCTAGTTACTAAAAATAAATAACGTTATGTACCTATTCATCATCGTGTGGTGACGGATCAAGAATACAGAGTGTCACCACCCCTATTCATCCCGTGGGTGTCGTAAGAGCCGACTAAGGGAGTAAACTATGCAAGACAACAGCACTGCTAAGAGAAGGAAAACTTGACACAAACCCTATACCAACCCGTCTGGCCAGCGTGGTATAGTAGGCCAAAACCTTACTTCTAAGGAGAGGCCTATGTCCAGTAGTGGACTTGTAAAGGCTGTTGATGATGTACCTATTGATGAATATTCCTCCAATTCCATAAGTGAGCACAGATCCGGCTCCAACAGCAACGCTTTGAAGATATGTCAGCATATCAGTAGCGATGGGAACGCAGGTTTCATCTGCAGCAGGCTGGTTGGCAGGTGCGATAGCAGAGCATAGACCCTGCGAATCCGAGCCGATCATGGCTGCTAGTTGCGGGTACCAGAGACGTATTGTGTTGGACCTAGAAATGAAGAGGAATTGAAACAAACTGACCCTAGACAGGTGGAAATTGACGTACGTATATTATTTGCTTGTTTCTATTCGTGGTTGTACTAATTGATCAAATTATACTTTGTAAGCAAAGTGGACTATCTAGTACAACAGATTTCTGAATTTATCTTGGCGACGTAGCATTTCTAGTCTACATGAAAATGTTTTTTTAAGAACTGTTTTTTGTAGTACAACATTATTTATATAAGTACGCTTTGTTAGGTACACAAGACGATGATAACAAAGAGATTAGTAGTTTCCGAACTTTTTGAATGCCTTGTACAGTACAACAGTACTTCTTTCACTGGTAACCTAAAATTAAATCGATGTGCAAAATCTTTTGCCAGAAATTGCATGCTAGGTTTTAGGGGTTCGAGGATTTAAGATACCAAGACATACCCAAACATACAGCCAATGTGTATAAAGCAGATCAGGGCCAACCATTTGAGGTGAGGTGGCTTGTACAATGGCGCCATTTGTGCCCAGCCACCTTTGAGTGCAGCTATTCCTTGACCTTGCTGCTCGTTCTTTTCCTCCACTAAGGTTTTTACCTGAAAGTCAAAGAACATCAACCAATAATCTTCTTGGCCGCAACATATTTTTTTTTTTAGTTATGCGCAATATGTAACATTGTAAAAGGTTTTTTCAATGACAGGCATTAGCTACCTGTCTGATGTCTGCTTACTCTCCTAGGAATTGTTATTGTATTCATCATCATCATCTTTAATAGACCACTCGGCACTAATGCTTCCCTCGGCCTCTCCTTAGAAAGGAGGTTTTGGCCTACTATACCATGCTGGTCAGACGGATGGGTAGATAGGGTTTGTGTCAAGTTTTCCTTCTCTTTGCAGTTCTGTTGTTCTGCATAGTTTGCTCCCTCAGTCGGCTCATACGATACCCACGGGATGAATAGGGGTGGTGACGGACACTCACAGATTATTACAGTATTCAAACAGGACAAAGGAAGAAAATAAATTAAAAGTAAAAAAGAAGAAGTTAGAGCAAAGGACACAACAAGTCTCGCATGGAAAATAAGACTGAGAATGCAGTAGCTCAAAGGAGTTGGAGTCGCGTAGTCGTTTGTTTGACAAGTAATAAAAAGGGCTACGTCAGGAACATTAAGTGAATACTGATCGACCACAACTGAAAGTCTAAGAACCTTTAACAAGTTTAACAACTATATTTTTGTTTCTGTAAGGATGTCAGGACATGAGTTGCTTACAGAGGATGACGACGACTCCAGAGGGAGAATAACAACATCAGGTCAGGTTACATCTCACTCGAACTGCCATTGCCGTGTTGGCGATAAGTATGAGATCTATAATCGAACCGGTAGTTAATAAAATCATTTTAAATACAGATCGAAAAAAAATATGTTTTTTTTATGTCAAAGAAAGAATGGAAAGCGACCATCTTCGACCATGAACGTCTACAACTCAGAAGTCACAAACGCGTTGCCTGCCTTTTAGGTAGAAGTACGCTCTTTTTTGGAAGGTTTGAAGGTCGTATCGGTCCGGAAATACCGCAGACGATAACCCGTTCCACAGATTGGTTTTTTGGGCTGTTTGGGCTGTTTGGGCAAAAAGTGTCTCGAAAAGCGCACAGTAGTGGAGCGCCACCTATCCAGGTGATGAGGATAAAAGTTTTGCTGTCTGGAACGATGGCGGAAAGTTGCAGTCGAATGTAAAAACATATTCAATAATATAGATTAAACTAGTTACGCATTGATGAAATGTTGCTTTTTTGAACAGCTATTGTGTACGCGAAAATTGGAAATCTATATTTACACTAGTCAAACAATATTTGATTACATCATCCGTCATTTTCTCGCTGAAGTTGAAAGAAATTTTATAAGAACTGAGATGTACCTTGCTCGTCTATTTTGTCATTTTCGATCTTGTGTTCTTTTATTTTATTTTCGAAGATTACGACGTGATTAATTAAACTCACACTAGTCTAGTACTCGTGCTTTTCAGATGCGCCATTGGATAGTACAATCTAAACTGTCATTGTAATTTCATAATTTGACTTCCCGTTGTTAACAGGGTAGAAGATCCTTATGGATGCCTTTCGCCCATTGGGGGGTGGCGAAGGGGTCTGGCGGACTCTTATCGGCTAAAAACCATCCCGGTATGGCCGGGGGAGCGAGAATCGCAATTGCAATGTACGCGTGACTCATGTAGATTTTTGTTGTCGTTTTCTTACTTTATGACATATGTATATCGATTACAAGATCCTGCACGTCTTTTAAAAATTTACTTGAACTATTTATCGCACTTAACATATAAGTATATGTGCATCGGAAATCCGGATATTTTCGAAGATTTAGGTAGATTACCTGTTAGGCCTCGGTGAGGTGACGTCCAGTGGAGATTTCCACAAAAAATAAGAAAACGTCACTACGATCATTAGTATGGAAAAAAGCTGTATGAAGAGTTAGGGAGATAAAATAACATAATTCTTTTATCTAGCTGTCATTGTTTTGACGTCAGTTGTCAGCTAGGATTAAGTGTAAGGACTCTTTCTACTGTATTACTTTTATAAACTCTTACCGGAAACTCTTCAGCAGGTTTCCCAGTATTCCATTTGTATATAGTCCTGAAGATGACCAAGGCTTCTTCGTTTCTCCCTCGTGACATGAGAAATTTGGGACTCTCCGGCAAGCAGAGAAAGGCCAAGCCAGTCAAAAGTGGGATGAGAGCAGTCGTAAATAAAAATATGTTCCAGGAGTGAATCACTGAAATAGAGAATAAATTGATTGAAATATTGACTGGAATCATTTAGACGTGACAAATGACGTGACTCTTTGAGATCTGGGCATGCTCTTATTGCCCTTAAAATGGTATATTATATAATTAATACATTACTAACTATGTCTACACCTGCTTGTGTAAGTATTCTCATAACGCGTTACGTTTTTTGTTGGAATTCAAATTTGGTCATGTTAAATTCGGTCTCTACGGTGACAATATTTTTATGGGCCCAAAATTTACTATCTAGTACTCTCTATTTGGGACATGGGCTTATGGCTAATACAGTTGCAGTATCTGATGGCATTGGGATAGCATTTCGGTTTAAAATATTTTTCAAAATATCTGTCATTGAAGCAGAATTTTATTAGTAAAGCTTAGAGAAAAATATACACTGGCTGACGATTCCTAGTGATCAGTTTGGTCAACGTATTAAACAAATGTCTTTTATGAGGACATGAACTTTAGCAGATTAGGCAGTGGGAGTAGTAGTAGAAAAATATAAGAGAGCAGTTAGAGAGAGAGAGAGCAAGGGATTTTAATACAATAACTTACCGAAATAATTAAAGATATAGAAGTCCATATTTTTGGTGAGAATGGCCCAGGCGAGAAGCGGAAGAGTTGTATTTGCAATGGTGAAGAAGAGGCTCGTTAACAAAATTACTCTAGCCCTTAGCTCCGTTCGGTGAAGTTCTGCGAGATAGGAGACCAGGACCGCGAAAGGTCCGTTAAAGCTGAAAATATCATGACTATTTGTTAGACTGGGTTTATTTAAGATTGATGAACCTTAGAAAGGAGGTTTTGGTATACTATACTACGCTGGTCAGACGGGTTGGTACTGGGTTTGTTTCAATTATTTTTTTCTCTTTGCAGGGCTGTTGTCCTGCGTAGTTTGCTTCCTTAGTCGGCTTTTACCCATGAATAGGTGACCCTCCGTATTTTTAATTCGTCAACAAATGGACATCTGTACTAATCTAATTTAATCTGCAATAATCTTAAATATAACACAACTATTGATAAAATAATAATAATAATAATATAATATTTTCACACATCTCACACACAGCGGGCTGATCCCAAACCCGACAGAGCCTGTACTATGGTAACCAGACTGCGGATAAACATACTTATATATTTCTACATACATACATATTATAGATAAAGAACACCCAGATACAGCACAAAATTTAATGACCGTGCTCATCACATAATTATTTAAGATACTCACAGGAATCCACTAGCGAACCTGGTTACAAGAAGCATCGCAAAATTTTGACTCATAGCAGCCATAATTTCGACCAGACCAGAGCAGAAAAATCCCCATACCATAATCTTTCTTCTGCCTAATGTATCTGATAAGAATCCCCACACCATTGCCGACGATATCATGCCTGGAACAATTAGTACTTCATTAAGATTGGATTGAAGGTTTCTTAGAGAGGAGTTATATTTTTTCTTTAATATTGCTTTGGTACGGACTCACAGAAAACCGGTGTTAACAATTTCTTTAGTTGTTTTTCACCGAATGAGTGAGCGCAAACCCCTCTTCGATTGATTTGGGGGGGGGGGGGGGGGGGGGCATCTAGAAGTAAAAAGACGGGGCGGCACTCTTTAGTTACAGGTGTCCATGGGCAGCATTTGCCAACTACCATCAGGTGACCCGTCTACTCGTTTGCCCCCCCCTAAGAGTAGTAATGTAATGAATGCCGATTCGTTAAATTTGTTGAATCGAATGCCCTGATAAGAAGGCCCATCTTCATAGAAGATATCCCTTTAAGCAAGGAAGTTTAATAGGAAAGTTGAAGATGAATCACATCAAATATCAAGTATTCAGATCTCTGAGCCTGTAGCTAGTTTGACTACATCGGGTCTTTTTTAACAATCCTTTACCGTTAACTGCTCAGATTTATGGCTTTGAGAAACCGCTTTATCTTATGCGGTGGCAGGCGTGCAACCATATTTTGAAACTTTGGTACCACATTTAAAGGATCACAAGAATTTTTGCATTGCAGTTTTTTTAATGGTATAACGAGCAGGGCAAACGAGCAGAAGGGTCACCTGATGGTAAGCCACTACCGCCGCCCATTTACACCTGCAATTCAAAAGTCACAAGTACTTTGCCGCCCTTGGAGTCCCTCCCGCTCGAGTCAGTGGAAGAAGGGAATTGGGCTCCGGTAACCTCACTCACTCAGTGAAAGGCAACGAAAGAATTGCTTAACACTGGTTTGCTGTGAGACCGTGGTATCACTCCGGTTGAGCCGGCCTTTTCCTATCTCTCGAAAGATTAAGCTCGTGATGCGTTTTGATGACTTTAGCTTAAGTCTATAAATCGTTCTATTTTCAATATCAAGGTAAGAATTCGTGTTATTGCACAGGTTTAGTCTTCTGTATTTGCACCAGAAGGAATATTGTTTTTCAAGTGTATGTACGGTATATTTCTTGGCGTTCTGTAACCTAAACAATTTGATGAGTTTTGGCGTTAGAGGTATCGTTAGATTCGTAAATTTTAAATTTTAAGTATACAATTTCACACAGTCGGGTTTTCCCTTTTTTTTCCAAAAATAGCTTGTTGTACCTGTGATATACGTTGCCATCAAAGCTTTCAAGTGTTCTAGACACATGGTCCTCCATCAATAACATTCAGATAACGTGAGTAGTGATCATCATCATCATCATCATAATAACTAAAAATCATGTCCAGTGTCAGCAGGTTTTCAGTATTGAATATTAGTTTCGAGTCATCATCATCATCAACAGCCTTTAATAGTCCACTGCTGGACATAGGCCTCTCCTGAGAAAGGAGGTTTTGGCCTACTATACCACGCTTGCCAGATGGGTTGGTATAGGGTTTGTGTCAAGTTTGCCTTCTCTTTGCAGTGTTGTTGTCCTGCGTAGTTGCTCCCTTAGTCGGCTCTTACGACACCCACGGGATGAATTGGGGTGATGACACTCTGTATTCTTAATCCGTCACCACACGGACTTATTTTTAAGTATTGAGAATTTATTTAGCATGATGAAATAATAAACTCATGCAATAATAGTTAGAAGAAAAAAAATCTGGCAATAACAATGATCCCCACACGTGTTTGGTGTAAAAAATTAAGTATTGCAATCAATCATAATACTCCATGTGTTCGCATCATATGAACCGGGTGATTCAATCTTTAAAAATGTTATCAGTATCAAAACATTGAATTTTTGAAAAGAAAGGAAAGTCTGCTTATCGTCTTACGAACCTCTTGTATAAGAATTTATGAATCATCCATGAGTAAACAAAAATATTTTGGACTGTACATTATGTTTTGAATGTTTTTCCTCGAAACCAATTACCTACTCATTGTTGGGACAAAATTAAACAAAGTGTTCAATACCTCTCTGTCTTACCTACCTACGTACTTCCTTTCTTTTTCAACTTTACACTTTACTGGAATGTTCAATCACGCAAACTATTTAAACTTTCGTGTTCCATGATATATCATTTGAATTGCCTGACGTTTCGACCAGGGCCTCCAATTCTGCTATTTTAATATTGTAACAATAGACTGTCGATGGAATGTCATCTGAATAGTTTTAAACTTTCCTATTCTACTAACTATGTAAAACCAATGGTCTCTCGATGACTTGTCCCCAATACAAATGTCGTCGATGTCTTTGTTACAGTTTGGTAAACGGTACATTTTAAATTTGTAAGAAAATGATATATTTAATTTTCCAATGTTCAATTGTGTCCAATGTTGTTGATATCACCATTGATGACCTATATTACTATATCCACAGTCTATTGACACTGTGAATTTATGCTAGTAGAATACTGATATTTTGACTGATGTCAATGGCGTCTCAATGCCATCTCATTAGCGTGTCAATGGAATGACAGTGGCTTGACGTTGACATAGAATAGCAGAATTGAAGCCCAGGTGGCTCTTGCCGTGTTCAAAGGAGCACCTTTTCTTCTGTTACATGATTGTGTTAATTACAACATAATTATATATTAGCTAGTAATAGCTAGTAATATACCCGAGCAACTTCATTTGCTTCTCTTAAAAGGAATAAATTTGCCTCGTTTTTAACATTCTATGGTCCTATTCCTTCGGTTCCTATTGGTCGCAACATGATGTTATATAGCCCATATCCTTCCTTGATGAAAGGATTATCCAACAATAAAATATTTTTTAATTTAAATCCGTAGCCTCCGAGTTTACCCCGAACATACAAACTTTACCTCTTGATAACATTAGTATAGATCTCACAAAATCTTCTATCTCATTCACTCACTTATTTTTAATATGATAAGATTAAAAAAAATTGAATTTTTAAAATTTTCTTTTATACATTCCTTGTCCTGACAATAACGAACACAATCACTAATTCCTTTTTATTTTTCCGATTTTAGCGATCGATTATAGCGATTCTGCTAAACTAAGCTTATTGTAGTCGGAACAATGCGTGGCGTTTTAATACGTTTATATCCCCCTTTGGAGATAAAAACGTAAGATAATTTAAATTTTCCTTCTTTTGGCGAATCTAATTTTGGATTGTTTGGCTTATGCTTACCTTCTGTGTTGATGAAGAGTATTTTCGTAAATTCATACAAATAAACTGTGATATCAGTTGTGTTTTGTTTACCATTGCTTCGATAACATTATATTTCTGTAGAACACAAATATGTACACATGGGAACACAATACACAATATCGCCTGATTCCTATGTCTCTGTTTACTTAGTATCGCCAGTTTCCACGCAAATATTGTGATAGTGACGTAAATCTATAGTAAACTAATACTTTTAATTTGTTGCAAATTTAGAATTTATGTCAATATGGTAAACGATTTATCAAAACTCAGATACCGTAAGATTTTGTTCGCAACACTGAAGAAGCAGTCAAATCATTGACTTGAAAATTTTGAATTTGAAAAAACGAAGAAACATCAATATAAAACAAAAAAAAAACAGTTTTACTTGTTAGATCACTCAAATGAGTGTTTTTACTATTTTAATATGATAAAGATACTGAGATAATTATTGGAAAAAGACGCAGCCTGATAACATATATACATAGTAGACCAATATCGGCATTTTCGTTATTAGGTTTGCCTTTAGACAGCTTTAATATTCGTGTAAACAAAAAAATGCTTAAGTAGAATTAGCCCTAAGCTAGACTATAGATACTCTACAATTTATAGGTTATTTGGCGTCCCGCAAGGTTCAGTTTTGGGTCCCTATAATATATTATAGTGATGTAAATGAACTCATTACCGTAACTTCGCTTACTCGGTAAATAACAACGAAATAATTGTTAAACACCTTGGTTTTCTATGAATCTGTGGTATCACTTCGGTTGAGCCCCATGTGTACCGAAGCATGGTTACAGGTAACAAACCATAAACAGTTGTCTATCGAATGTTATTTACCAATTTAATCAATGCTTGCATATCTAGCGATATTGTTGTACATGAGCAAGTAAATTTTATAAAGAGGTCATATACTGACGATGCAGCTAAAAATACTTGATAAAACAATCAACAACTCTCACCTTAAAGTAACATTTTACGTACGTCACACGTACAAAAACAAACACATCACAAATGCCAGCTATTCATACAATTATATGCACAGGGTTTAGGACTTCTACCGATAGATGTTTTAATTTTGCTAAAAACAACGCATCTGTTTGCTCTACTCTATTGTAATTAAGTATATAGACACATTTAAACAGCTAATATTATTTATTGACTTGCTGAAGGAATATTTTTATTTTAAAACTTGTGATATCAGTTTAGTGTGTGAAGGAATTGGGATTTTTGTGCTATGTTCAGATTTATTGCTAGATCAGGCAGCCTTAGCCTACTTTTGAACAGCAGACAATTCGCGAAACAGACACGCTTATGTAGATATCTTTCACTATTTTTAGTGTCTGCTTTATTTATTTATTTTATCATCTCACATTATGTAAAGAATCGTGTAATCAGACATTTTATGAAATATCTTATAAAAAGAATTCTCTGAGCCAGATGGATTTACAAGCTGAGGGAACCGAAAAAGATTGCTGAGAGCTGTGGTGTGCTTTACGAGAAACCTATGATGATTAGCTGTGGACCTCAATACTTGTAGATTGATTGATAAATATATATTACGAATCAAGCTTTTTTTTAATAATAAGAATTTTTATTGTAACAATAAGTGGATTACAAACATTATACAGAGCTTATTTGTCTATTCCCTACTTTGGCAGCTCCTTGTAACTTTAAGTCTTACCTCCATAAGTCATAGCAGCAATCGTCCCCATATCTAATAAATTTAGTCCCATATCGCACTGCGCCCTAGTAAAAATATAACTTGTTGAGCTGGTGACAGAAACAGCGCTCCAGAAGGCGGGAAGTGTGCAAAGCATGAGAGCAATGTTGAATTTGCCATAGCCCGTCGCGGCGATGGCACTTTCGAAATCTGATGGTTCGGCTTCTGGAAAAATCGAAATTTAAATTCAGTGTAACATAGTTTTTTAAGGAACCTTATTTGAGACATGATACTATTTGTACTTTTTTCTCATCATCCCACATCCTCTTAGACCCTAAAACTGGTGACCAAATACATCAACAGGAGAACAATAATATTTCAAATGGCGTTGATTTTCTTGTACACTGGCTCTGCGTAGGTACTTAATATGTCGGGTAGTAAATAAATTACGGAATTTATTACGACGAAATAATTTGGAAATTTATCTCTACAAAATTCTACACTTCTGATTTATATTTGTTTTAAAAAACGGGAAAACTTTGTAGAACTTATTTTTAGGTAAAACAAATTTATTTACGGGTTTTAGTTTTCTAGACTCTAGACACTTTTGCTTGATTCTTATAGTTGTTGACTATCCAGAATTACGGCTTCGAGAAACTTCCAGATCTTAGGAGCAGTGATTCTTTATATTTTCAGCATTTACATGATAGCTATATTATTACTGTGGTTTACCATTAGTAAAACACAAGCTTAAACAAAGAGGATTGCAGTTTCTTCTACTTTTCGACTCAACAAGACTATGCTCTGTGCTTTTGTCCAACAATTATTATGAAGAGTCATAAAGTTGAAATGTTAACCATCATGTTTGTGTTGTATTCTCGTATCAATTTTTACGTGTAAGACAGCTGGTTAAATTTCTTGGATTGTTAAGTTTCGACGTCACAAAAACCGAGAAAAATGATTGTGATCTGTCTGTCACTTTTTGAGACAGTACTCCACCTTAGCTATTTTCATATTTTCGCATCGTTCAATACATTTTAAAACTCCTATTTAGCCTTTTTAAAATAATTTCTTTTTAAGTAAATCACTCCCGTTATCAACAACTCACAACTCCTCCATTACCAACAACTCTGCTACAAACCAAGATCATAAATTTATTGAATGTATATACATTATCTCCATCAAACTTTTGTCTGGTAAAAATATGAAAATCGATACTCTATTACAAAGCTAAGATTAAATTTCGATAGAAACGCTACACAATAAACAATTAAATCAACATAAAACCAAACTAAATAGTTTAAATGACGTAGGTTGGTGAGCAAATTACAAGGTTTCGTCAACTAAAATACGCCAATCGTGTTGATAAAAACAAACACGTCTCATACCAGTCTGGTTTTAACCTGAAATATTGGAGCCGCGCCAATGATCCCAGACCGAGCTTTTGGTCTTTAACACCAAATGTCACTCAGTTTAGTTTTATTACCGTTGTTCAATAATAATATGAGAGTGTAATTATTTCTGCTGAGGTGCACGAGACCTTCAAGAATTGAATTTTCAATTATTTTATAAGAAGCGGAACTTTAGTGTTGTAAACAATATGTCAATTTTTTAATATGGTATCAAAAGTGTTTAGTGTGATCCACTAAATAGTGTGATCCATATTGTTGTTCTGAGTCTGGGTGTACTTTGTGTCCGTTTCATGTATATTTGTAAAGTCCCCCGCGACACAGGATTTATTCCTGTGGGAGTTGTCTTTTTTAAGATAGATAAGACAGCAGATAGAGAGAATAAAAAGCCTATCGCTGTCCACTGCTGAACGCCAACTAGCCCAGTCTTGTGCAGTCCTCATCCATCCGCTGCCGCAACGTTTTGTAAGTCGTTGTTCCGTCGTACTGTGCAGGGCGCTTTACACTATGTTTACATAATAGCGGTCTCCACTCACTCTCATGTCGGCTGCAGCCACCATCAGTCCGCCTTGAGACAGCTGACCGATGACCGATCCACTTCCACTTCAGTGTACTGATTAATTAATCTAGTTCTCTGTCGAATTGTTATTACGGGTAAGACGTACTGGTTCTCTTTGTTGCCATGGCTTTTGGTTCTCCACTTTGCATATCCAGTCTATTAAGGGTGCCTTCTTCAGGTCGTTGGGGACTAAGTCTCATCCAGAGGACGTTCTCCTAACTTTCACGGTCTCTATGTTAGGAATCTTATTTTATTTCGGCCATCGGTTTTCCTGTGAGATGTGGCCATCCTATTACTTAACTTTGGATATTTTTCGAATGACCTGATGATCTCGTAGCTTGTTAGATAGCCCGTTTTAAGTTCTTCTCCTTTTCTTTTATTAAAGAAAACTCACGCATTAGGAATGTATCCTATGTCGCGGTGGACTTTACAAACGTACATGAAATAGACACAAAGAACACCCAGACTCAGAACAACAATTTGTGGATCATACAAAGTGTCGTCCCATACGAGGATCGAATATTTTCTTTAGGTTTATACTCGTAGTTAACGCTAAGCATGTCCTAGACATAGTAGATATTTTTTTTTGGTACAAAAATAACTTTCTGGGCAATAGCAGTGTTCTATATTACTAGTCTGGTGGTTAGTGACCCAGACTGTCAGCCAGGTCGTGAGTTCGATTCCTACTCATGACAAATAATTGTGTGATAAGCACGATCATTTGTTCTGTGTCTAGATATAATTAATCTATGATACTCGTATTTATTTAGAAACATATAAGTATGTTTATCAGCGGTCTGCTTACCATATTATAGCTTCCTATCTATTCATGTAGCACCCCGTGTAAGACTTAATAACTGAAAAGATGGAACAAATATCTTTTACTTTTAAAACCTGATCGCACTTACCTTCAGCTAATTTCTCTAAATTTGAAGAAGACAAGCCAGTCACTTTAAACAGATGATCGTGAGGCATTTCCTCCTTTACTGCATTCTCTCGTACTTCACACTTGACCATTTTGAAAATCTGAATTTAATACCGAATCTTTACAAAGGAATATCCATTTATGGTCTGATCTAACGAGAACTCCATTACTCAATCCTCAGAGCAATGAGGTAACACTGTTATCGTTCCTGCTATATGTTGTATCATTACGTTTGTAAAGGCTTTAGTGTATGTTAAATCAACTTGGTACGTATCTGTATGTCAACAGTCACTAGGCAATGTGTATATTTGGTGATACAACATGACTTTATATCCGACTTCGGTCGTTTTATGTAATAAGAGTTTGATTTTAAATTTATGGTTTGGTCTTATCGTGTGAATTGGATTATTAAAATGGGTGAAAATAAAATTACTTCTTTTTCCGTTTCGGAGAGCAAACGAGGTATCCAACGACAACAAACCTTCCTCATTCTGAGATGTTCATATTAATATGGTGTAAACACTAACCGAACTGATCCCTAAGAGATTTTTTAAGTCCCTGTATGTAATTAGTGGGTCGTCTCGAACAAGCATGTCAGTAGTCCACACATTTTCAGCAGTGACTGCTGTTGGCGGGCATTCACTTTTGTCATCATCTTCAAGGCCATTTTCTCCCCTTTTTTAATTAGTTAAACCATCTAAAAATAGTTGCCCCAGAAGAAGCAGATTCATCTAAAGCTGATATTAAACGTTCTAAGCTTAAACCTAAAAAACAAACACATTTAAAGTCGCGATATATTATAACACGCAAATCCAATTGCCTTTTATAGTCTATGTAATCTAAGACGTACCATTTGACAGTTCTAATTGATTGAAGTATAGCGATGGGGTCAAAGTATTCGATTACTAAAATATCTAATTCTTAAGAGATTTCGATATATTTAGTTTTTATTTTATGTCACAGATAAAAAAAAAAGTGTCCATCGCCGCAAATGAACGTCCGCAGCTCAGGAGGGAAAGGAATACGCTCTTTTCGGGGGACAAAAAGTGTCTCGAAAAGCGCACAGTAGTGGAGCGCAAACTATGTATATAGGTGATGAGGATGATTTTTTTTTCTTAGTAGGTATCTAATCGATTACAGTGTAATGGCACATCATAGGTTTTATTAGTGAATCTAAGTATACACTAGATTTGGACACGAGCGATTTTTGTCTACAAAGATTTATTTAAAATTACATTAACTTTCATACTTTAATTATGCGTTTTCGTTGCGATTTGGATGTCAGATGAATTTATAGTATTAGTAACACTACGGTAAAGACCTAACCCCGTGATTTTGAAATGAAGTTAGAAATAAAACGTCTATTGCTTATAAATTGGTTATTTTGCTTTGTTTCAAAGATTTAAATTTAAATTAAGTAAAATGAAAATAGCTACATAACTCCATGGTTTTATGGAAAAGGTTATTGAAATTGTGTGAGTTACGCCTATACAAAGTTGTTTCGTCTTGAAAAGTATTAAACGTCAAACGGTACCTCTTAGATTAGATGGACTATAATAATATATGATACAGATGCGTTTCATTTTCAAATATCGAGTATCTCAAAACTAAGATAGTGACCTACGTAGGCTGATGATATGTGCCGTCCACCAGGCTCATACATTTCTCAATAAATACATCCACATTATTATAACAGATAAATTACACCACAGCTCAAATGATCATGCTCAAAGCACAATATTAATCCTGGGTGGAATTCGAACCCACGACCTCTGTCTAAGCAGTAAAGGTCATGAAACCTCTCGAGAGTTGTGTACCTTTCTTTAAAGAATACAATTTATTGACGCTGCCGTCGCTCTGTATATACGTGTTTGTAAAACTTTTTTTTACCACATTCACATAACGCCATAGAGTCCCAAACTAAGCAGATTATACAAAAAAAAAACACCCAGACCAAATAAAACATTAAATATTCATGCACACAAACGTTTGACTTCAGCGGGAATCGAACCCGCGACCTTTGGAATAGCAGTCCATTAAACCAACCACTACGCCATCCGAATTCTAACCTGTTTGTTTTGACGTCAGCAAAATATATCCGAGCACAAAGAGACAAATGTAAGCTATGTATCACGAAAGCCAATACTGCTCTGATACATAAAAGCACCTTTTACATGGCTGCAGTAATTCTCAAACTCAAACTTTCTTTATTTCATAAAATTTCCAAAATTGTTTGAAATCGTCTTCCATGTAGACTCTAAAGTCATAGATCAACACACACAAAAGCAACAATCTCTGTTTTGTCAAATAGTAACCAAATAAATTTAACAAAAATCAAACATATACAAAATCTATGATATGCCTGTGCCGATCTACAACCGCCCGTTTCCAAGAGGTTGAGCCTTATGAGAAGAAAGGGCAAACAAACTCATGGCCACTCTTTTGCAATTCACAGGTGGATACAATGGCACTATTAAATATACCACAACATAAATTGCCTAGCACCTTAAAAGCAAAAGATATAAGTACATTTAAGTCTCAATTTAAAAATTTCCTCATTAAAAAATATTATTATAATGTATTAGACTTTATCTCTGACAATTTGTAGTATGTGTTGTTTATTCTTTATAATTCTTGTTTATTCTTTCTGACATAAAGCGGGTAGTTTGACTTTGAATATTTGACATTGTATAATATTTCTATAGTAATCAATGATGCTAACAATATACTCTGTGTAAGGGACGTCGTAACGAATACTGAAATAGTGTGTTCAGACCTTCATTCTGAGTCGAAAATCATTGGATTTTCTACCGGAAAAGGCTGTCAAAGGTTAAGGTATCGCACAAAAGTAATAACTACATATTGTGTATTCAATGGGAGAGGCCTATGTCCAGCAGTGGACTGCGATAGGCTGATGATGATGATAATGATGATGATGATGTGTATTCCGTGCAAACAGTCTACGCACACTAACACAAACTGGCGGCCGGAGGGGAGGCGGGTGTTTAATTAATTACATTGCAGTTTTTTTTATGTTCTGTCTACTCATTGTAATATCATTTTACATCATTTTTAACCAGAAAAATGAATAATAAAAAAAAAGAAAAATTTTCCGGCAGAAAATTCCAATGACAATTCCATTTATCGTAGTCTGAATACACTATTTCAGTATTCGGTACAATGCCCCTTACATCTTGTATAAATTGTTAAATTTTATTTAAATTATATGCTTAAGGTTGCCTGGAAGAAATTGCATTTAGCAATAAGGCCGCCCTTTGTACACTCGATATTTGATCGCTGTGTTCCTTTCTTGTAACTCTGTAATTTAGTGTGCAAATAAACAGTTTTCTATCTATCTATCTATCTTGTAGAAATTGAAAATTTGAACACTCATAGCGGTAAAGCACAGTGAACCTGTTTGTGAATTGAATACCATGTAATTCATACCTGTGTTGTGCAAATAAACAATCTGAACCTGAATCTAACCACTAGACTAATAGGATCGTCAGCCAAATATATAAGGGTCATTATATACTTCACAAGTAAAGATATATAAACTGTCTTCGAGATAATAACAATGAAATGAATATAATATAATAGAATAGAGTAGAGTAGAGTAGAGTAGGGTGGAGTGGAGTGGAGTGGAGTGGAGTGGAGTGGAGTGGAGTGGAGTGGAGTGGAGTGGAGTGGAGTGGAGTGGAGTGGAGTGGAGTGGAGTGGAGTGGAGTGGAGTGGAGTGGAGTGGAGTGGAGTGGAGTGGAGTAGAGTAGGGTAGAGTAGGGTAGAGTAGGGTAGAGTAGGGTAGAGTAGGGTAGTGTAGGGTAGAGTAGGGTAGAGTAGGGTAGAGTAGGGTAGAGTAGGGTAGAGTAAGGTAGAGTAGGGTAGAGTAGAGTAAAATACCACTTTATGGATTTCAGCATTACAGCACTCTTGTAGGAATATACAGAAAAACTATAATACCGAAATCAAAAGGTCTAAGCGACAGCTTATGCTTGGACTTCACATGGACCAATCGCTGGTTTTCAGCTTAAACCCTTCACTCCCGTTTACAAAAAAAATACAAATATAAGAATTTCAATGCATAATGTTATGTATATTTAATGTAAGAGAATATAGAACAATGATATTATTGAAGGTTATTTATATGTACTTAGAAGTAGTGTGTACAATTTCAAGGGTTTATTTGCGATTGTCATGAATATTGATAATAATATAATAATAACTTGGTAATATCTCGCACACGGCCGTCTAAGTCTAATAATCCTAAGGCAGAGCCTGTACTATGGTAATCAGACTACTGATAAACATATATATTCAAACGACCGGAATGGTTTGTGTAACGGACTGTTATTCCAAAGGTCGCGGGTTCGATTCCCGCTCAGGTCAAACATTTGTGTGCATGGACATTTAATGTTTGATTTGGTCTGGGTGTTATTATATATAATATGTGTGTATATACAAAAAAAAAGTATAAATGTATTTATATCAGTTGTCTAGTACCCATAGTACAAGCTCTGCTGTTTGGGACTAGATGGCGTTGTGTGAATATGGTGGAATATTATTGTTATTATATATTAATAAATACATACAATGGGAGAGGCCTATGTCCAGCAGTGGACTGCGATAGGCTGATGATGATCATGACGATGATGATGAAATACATACTTGTTACACAATTATATGTCCTGGGTGGGAATCGAACAAACCACTTTTAGCTTAGCAGTCATGTTCACACAGTCTAGACCATCATGCTAACAAGATATGTTGAATAATACCATAATCGACACTTCAGTCATTCTTTTAAATGAGACCCTTTTTCAGATAAGAATAGGAAAGAACGAAAATAGGGGAGAAGCAGGTGTTGAGACTGCGATAAGCCGAAAAAGCCGGTCATTTCTTAAGCTGCTATTCCAGAACAGATGATAGCACAAGTATTATGTAAACTTGAAGCTTGTTAACACCTCTGTAATACTAAACTACAGTTGTTTCCGTCCGTATGTTTATTTATAAATGGGGCGAGTAGTCTTAACACTGGTGTGTCTGTGTAAGCCGTTGTTTGCTGTGGAAATTATCAATATAATAATTTACCACA